AAAAAAAAAAAGGTGGGTGGTTGTGGCCTTGAAATAGACACAGGTGTCAGGCTTAGAGGTGATGCCTTGCTTTTACGGGACCGTGGTCCATGAGGGAGGAATGAACTCTTGTTAATGAGGCTGAAGTCACCCAACTCTAGTCCATGGCAGAACTGGGGTTTACGTACTATTCTGCTGTTCTATGCCAGCTCACGCTCTGTCTTTATTTTTCAGGTTCACTTTAGCACAGGTGACTGAGGGAGCCAGGAGAGACAGCAGAAGGGAAAGGAGGCAAGCTCAGCAGAGCAGATAGGAGGGAGAGGGCAGGCTCCGGAGGGCCCCTCAGCTGCAGCCTCAGGCAGGCGGGACAGCTGGACCACAGCTCTTCCTATTGGCCCAAGGACCCCCTCAGGCCAGAGCATTGTCCTCTGAGAGTGTCCTGTACCCCATGCCCTGCCCCACAGCTCACTTCCTGTCCTTCACTACACACCCAGGCCCCACCACATGCTCACCCTTCCCCCTCACTTACCATGTTTCTATCACACATCTCATGTCCCTGCCACATGCCAAGGCCTTCCTAAATCAGCTGGTTTATACCGCAGGCCCCAAGTTGCCCTTCTACACCTCACCCCCAACTCATTTCTCATTTATCTACACACTTGGGTCCCTGCCACTCACCCAGACCCATCATTACCTGTACACCCAGCTCATGACCCCTTGCACTGTGTCCACAGAGTGCATCGGATGGCTTCTGGAAATCGGTGGCCACTCGAGTGCCCAAGGAACCACCTGAGATCCGCATCCTCAACCCGTATTTCATCCAAGAGGCCGCCTTCACCCTCATCGGACTGCCCTTCAACAACGGCCTGATGGGCAGGGGGGTGAGGCTCCTGGGCCCCTGGGAAGAGGGAGAATTGAGCCAGAGGGTCCTTGGGAAGAAAGGAGTGGATGATAGGGTGGGTGGCAGTGGCCCTGGGAGGTAGTCTTCAGGGAAGAGGGCTCTTGGCAGTGGAGCGCAGTTAGCTCCATAGAGCCTATCTGTGGTCTCAGCCCCAAAGTTGAGCTCCATATGCCTCCTCTCCCATTCTCCAGAACATCCCAACCCTTGGCAGTGTGGCAGTGACCATGGCGCTACATGGCTGTGATGAGGTGGCAGTTGCAGGCTTTGGCTACGACATGAGCACACCCAACGCGCCCCTGCACTACTATGAGACCGTGCGCATGGCAGCCATCAAAGAGGTTCGGGCTGGGTGCAGGGTAGAGCCAAGGGAGGGGGGCTTTCAGCACAGAGGACAGACTCTGATGCATGTAAATGAGTGGTAAAGTGACAAGCCAGCTGCCCCGAGCTCCCCAGGAAAGCCCTGCCTACCCTCAGCTAAGCAGAAGCACCGAGGTCCACTTCATGTACGCCTCCGACCACCCACATTCTACTTGTTCCTGTCCCCTGAACCCAGCCCCTTCCTCAGGCTTTTCCCTGAACTCTCTCTCCCTCCATGGGGCCCTCCCTTCCCTTGTCTTCTACTTTGCCCCTCCTTGCTGCACCCCCACCCATAGTACATTAGTTGGCACCAGGTCAAATGGGCCTCCTGTGCGATCCCTGTCTTTTCCCAGAAGGCTCACTTGCCTCCCGAACAACCCACAAATAAACATTGCCCCTCAGTCTCAGGAAGGGCCCCTGTACCTCTTCTACCCTTCCCTGTGACCAAACATGGACACCCTTTATTACCCAGAAGTTCCCCGGGAAATCCACATGTACAGGTAGGTTCCAGTTCTCCTAGCCTCTTGGCCTCTCCTGGCATCACAGCGAAGATCCCATGTGGAAAATCTGAACCCTCTTCTCCACCTTAGCTTCTACAACCCGCCTTCCACTGACCCCAGCCTGAACCTGGAAATCTCAGGCCAGTGCCCTGAGCAGCTTCTCTGCCCCTACATCTGGTTGATGGAGGGTGGTTGGAAAAAATCTCTTATCTGTACAGATTCATATCTCCATGACTCTGCCAACTCTATTTCCTGCCCATCAGTGTCTTTACCTGCCCCTCTCCAGCCCCCCCCACACTGTGCTGGCGCTCCACTCCACAGGTTCCTTCAACCCTCCCTACAGGGAGAAAGCCAGAGCTCCCACTGGAGCATCCCCGTTGCACTCCTCACTCCCATTCAGCCCTTTGCCCCCACCTAACACACGTCTCCTGAAGGTGACCTATGTCAAGACTGCCCAATCATGATCTCTCAGGAACACTTCCCCCCACCCCAGCAGTACTGAATATTGAACCCAGGGACACTCTGCCACTGAGCTACACTCCAACACTTGTTATTTTATTTTGAGAAAGGGTCTCACTAAATTGCGTTGACTGGCTTGACAATCCTCTTGCCTCAGCCTTCCACGTAGCTGGGATTACAGGCATGTACCACCACAACCAGCACAAAAAAACTTATGATGATGATGATGATGTGTTGACCATTCTTTGCTGCTTAGGCTTCTGAGTCAGTAATTTCTAGTGTTCTTCCTATTTCACTTACCCTTCTCTCATTCTCTTTTTCACGTCTTAAGTTTTGGTCTACCCAACAAGAATCAACTTTAGTTAAGGCTCCATCTCAGACAATCTTCTCACTGTACATGTTGTCCAGATTTACATCCCCATCCATGGCTTCAGTTACCATCTGTTTTGTATTAGGTTTTTGGTTCTATCTTGTCTATTCAGGCTGCTATTCCAGAATACTAGAGTATGTAGCTTTTAGAAAGCAGAAATTTATTTCTTATACTCTTGGAGGCTGGAGGTTCAAGAGAGGGGTGCTGGCAGATTCGGTGTCTGGTGAGGACCCACTTCCTGACACAGATGACTTTCATCTCACTGTGCTCATGCGTGGTGGAGAGTGTAGGAGTCCCCCTGAGTCTCTTATAAGGATACTATTCCTGTGGGAAGTGGCCTCTGGAAGTACCATTTAGGAGAGGATACTAGCTGCAGTGAGAACATCACCAAAGGTAGTGAGGTAATGAATAGCGGGTAGAGACTGCAGGAGTTGCACGTGGTAAGTGCTGTCAGGATGTAGAACAGACGGAGTGGGGAGAGGCTGAGCAGTAGCTGCAAGGTGAAGCAGTTCCTCTTGGAGTCCTGTACACAGCAAAGAATCTGGGCTGGAAAAAGACTGTGAGCAGTAAGAACAACTGCTCGCTCAGATATAAGGAGGGCAGTAGTGATTGCCCAGAGAGAGGAGAGCAAGGAAAAAGCACAGGTAGATGAATAGCGACCTGGACACCAGTAGCTCGGTAAGAGGAGCCAAAGACAAAGGTAGAGGACTGGAGGCGTAGCTCAGTGATAGAGTGCTTGCCTGATACACATGAGGCCCTGGATCTCCAGCACCACAAAAAATAAAATATTCCTCAGAATTTTTTTTTTTAAAGGTAGGAAAAGCAGCTAGCTGCAGGAGACCCTACTGAGAAGGTGGGTTGTACAGTAGTTGAGCATCTGTGTCCAGAATCCTTCCACGGCAGTGCAGAGCTCCAGGGCTTCCTAACTTCTCTACAAAGAAGAGGGAGTTAGCAAAAGAGCACCAGAGAGAAGAGCATCACCTAGTCTGAGAGCTACACCCAGGGCAGACTTTTGTGGTTTTTTCATTATGAAAAGAAATCATCTAGAGAATGAAATTAATCAAATCATGTGCATGTACAAATATGACACAATGAATTCCACCATTATGTATAGTTATAATCCATGAATAAAAATAAAACATTGGCAATGACTACTATATTAGAAAAAAAGAAAATTGTCAAACATAAGCATAGAGAATAATATACTTAACTCCCATGTATCAGTTACCCACACATGGCCATTGTTTCATCTGTCCTTCCTTTCGTGCTCCCAACCCCAATGATGACTTGGACAGGTCTCAGCAGATCTTTCTGGCCATAAATACTTCATTGGGTTACTCTGAAAGAGTAATTATTTTTAATTGTTATTATGCCTAAAATAGTTGACAATAATTTCTTAATGTCATCAAATATTCAGTCCCCTGGTGACCTGTTACCCCTCAGTGACTCCTAGTGGGTGCTGTTGAAACTGACCCATCAATTGGTTATTTCTCCCCAGGAGATGGAAGTGGAATAAGTAGTTTTGTAAGTTTCTACATGTGCTTGAATCCTGACCCTGCCATTCTTCTGAACCTGTTTTCTTGCCTATAAAATTTAAATTCCATTCAACCAATGTGTTTATTGAGCACTTATTCTGTGCCTAGCATTCCCTGCCCTCAAGTAGAAAGAAGTTCAGAGCCAAGGAATATAGGGAATTCTGCTGATAACTGCCCGAGTTTCAGATTTAGAAGATTTAGAAGGTTGAAGATGGTTGACTGGACCAGAATAAGGGCTGACAGAGCCCTAAATTCTTAGCACCAGTAAATACTATCTGTGAGTATAAGTGTGGTGAAGCTCAGTGTTGACAAAAGCTACAGTTGGGTAAAAGCCAGGATTGACATTCATTCCTTCATTTATTCAATCAGTTTTTTCATTCTTAGAGGGACTTGGTCATTCAAGCTTCCTGATAAGAGTCCTGGGGATGGGGAAGAGCCCTATCCAGGAAACCCTGAAAGGCTGCATCTTCCTTGTAATTTCCACATTAACAACAACAACAACAACAACAAAAATAGCCTCTTCTAGTGAGACACCATGGTGCACACAGAGCGACTTGGAAAGCTGAGGCAAGAGGATCACAAGTTCAAGACCAACCTCAGCACCTTAGCAAGGCCCTAAGCTACTTGGTGAGACCCTGTCTCAAAGTAAAAAATAAAAGTGGCTCAATGGTCAAGCACCTGTGGGTTCAATCCCCAGTACTAAAAACAATGTCTGGGGGATGTGGCTCAGAGGTGATGTTCCTAGGTTCAGTCCCTCATACTGCAAAAATATAATTAGATAGATATAGAGCTATATATTAAAAAAATTATTAATACTAGTCAATTGTTCTTATCACAAAGTATGAGTGGCTAGAGTTGTGGCTCAGTGGTAGAGCGCTTGCCTAGCATTTGTGAAGCACTGGGTTCAATCCTCAGCACACACAAGAATAAATAAATAAATAAAGGTATTGTGTCTGCCTACAACTAAAAAATATTTTTAAAGTATGAGGTGATAGGTATATTAATTAGCTTGACTTAATCATTGTACAGTATATATGTATAGCAAAACATATTTTACCCCATAAATAAATATAAATATATATGTAATTATTATTTGTCAATTAAATTTTTTGTTTTTTAAAGTTAGGCTCTGCTCCTCAGGCTCCCTGGCTCCTGTGATCAGGGAGGCAGGATTTCATCAGCATCCCCAGGCCTGGCGAGTGAATTCCATCAGGCCAGAGTGACTCCACCCCCTTGCTCTTGGACTTCAGTGACTCACCTGCCTGCCCTCAGGGTGTATAGAACCTAGGTGCTTCCAGGCTAGCTGGGTGGGATGGAGTCTGAGGAAACAGGTCCTTCCTTCAGAACTGAGGAGGAGACTGGGAAGCTTACACCACCCAGACTTGGGAGAAGTCAAGGGCGGGTTCTGAATGAAGAAGGTGGGATGCAAAGGTTGTTTTCTCTGAGTCTTGGGAAGAGGGACGAGTTAAGGCACACTGCAGTCATCGTGGTCTTGTAGGCACCGTGAACGATAAGTCTCTGCCTTAGATTTCTAGTCACAGAGCTTCAGAGGGTAGGGACCGTAGAGAGCAGCCCCTTGAGCGGCCTATTTCATCACTTCTCCATGTCTTTTCTTCTAGTCTTGGACACACAACATCCAGAGGGAGAAGGAGTTCCTGAAGAAATTGGTGAAAGCGCATGTCATCACTGACTTAAGCAGTGGCATTTGAGTGGGCCCAGCACTCGGCCACGTAGGCCTAGGTGCTATCAGAGCAAGTAGCAGCCACCTGTGCAGGAGTCCTCAGACCCAGAGAAGGACAGTGCCAAGAGGCCCCAGGGGCAGTGAGGCCTTGGTGAAGTAGCCAGAGCTGTGCCTGTTCGGAAGCCAGCCTCAGAGACCAGCACTCAGCCTCTCTCAGCCTGGGTCCGTGAAGCCAGAGGGCCAGGAGGCCACTGGCTGTGCCCAGCAGGCCCAGCATGCAGGAGGTGGGACATTAGGCAGCATGGCTGCTGCCAGAATTGTTTCTCCAATCAGTGTTTGGTGTATTATCATTTTGTGAATTTGGGCAGGGGGGAGGGGGGGATAATTTATTTTTAAATAAGGTTGGAGATTGTTTGGTCCACTTGCTGTGCAGGAAGAGGCCCACTAGAGGGCCCATCAAGCAGTGGTACCAGTTAGCTCCCTGGAGGGTAGGAATGCAGTGACCAGTCTGTGCTGCACTCCAGGACCATAGGGAAGTGGGCAGCATCTCATGCCAGTCCCCTCCAGCTCACCACACTGTTTGGCCTTTCTTGGGGAGAAGATGTGGTATTCCCACTCACCAGCCCCCAGCTGTCCTGCAGGGAAACCCTGGAGCCATCCCTTCGGAGCCAACAGGACAGCCCTGGGCTAGAGCCGAGAGAACTCGAAAGCTCAGGAGGCCCAGCCCAGCTTAATGGGAATGGCTGTCCTCCCCAGCCACACCTGATCCATGGGACACCACCCCAGCCTGCACTGACCCACTTGGCAGGTGTTCTGGGTTTCCACAATGAGACTGCTAAGTCCTTGAGTTTTGCCTTTAGCCTGGACCAGAGGGAAGTGAGGCCCAAGGACTTTACCTAGGCCGCGACAGCCATCCTAGGCAGCCCTCATGGAAGCAATAAAGATCTTCCCTGAACCTGGCCTCCTTTTTTTCTTTTTCCAATTTTCCTGGAAGAAACAGGAACCCAAGGCTCCAGCCACTCTGCTAAATCCAAGGGCCTTCTCTCCAGCCCACAGAGCATCAGATCCCTTCACTTCTCATGTCCTGTGCAGGACCCAGGTGGCTATCTAGGAACCTCTGGGGTCTTACCATATGAGAGAAAGACCAGTGGTAGCCCCTGGCCTGGAGAGGCCCACAGACCATCGCTTGACACCCTGGCTTGGCTCTTTCTTGGCTCTGGAAAGAATATGTCTTGACCCCAAAGTTAGCACACAGGCATGATCTCCATCCAGCCCCCCCTTCTCACACAGAACAGGGGACACACAGCCCAGTTCTAAACATCCCTTGGGGAACTTCAGAAAGAACACCCTCCACCTAGAATATAGAGCCCTCAAATCGGATCCATCTCTCCCCAGCAGGCCTGGGAAGGACAAACATACCCACCCTTGAGGCCATGTGGAAGGAGCTTCCTGCACACCTCCTACCTACTCCAAGAGTCCAGGGAGCCCCAGGCCCTCCCACTGTGACCCCCTGAGGACAGAGTCTTGGCCACCCCAAGGAATATGACTTCCCACATGCCCTCCTTACTGCAGAAGTCTGTTCCCAGACATAGCCCTCCTCAACTGAGGGGAAGCGAGGCCCTGACTGAGGGACAGTCAAACCCAGAAATGCCCTTCATACTCTGCTGAAAACAGGGCCTCTGTGATGCCCAACTCCAATGCACAGTTCCAGCTTGGATGGCACCCACTCAAGAGTTGTACAGGGACTAAGCTGCTTGCCCCAAAGTAGTGGTCCTGGCTGAAAAAGCCCCAGAAAAGCTGCCCCTGGCCAACAAGTTATGGGAGGCAACAGGTCAAACTGCTCACCACTTGGCCTCCTTTCTACAGCTTCATGGGAATGGCTGTCCTCCCCAGCCACTTCCAACAGCTCCCAGCAGCAGACTTTCTCAGCAGTCTGTTGTCCCCAGCACCACACAAGACTCCCTCACAAAAGCTGTGGTTCTGAGCCCTGGATATGCATCAAATCACCTGTGCAGATCTGGAAAACTGCCCACCCTGAGACCTGGTGACTGATTCAGATCAGGGTGGGGCCCGGATGTGGTAGTTCTTAAAGATCGCCAGTGATTCTGATGCATAACTGGATGCAGCTGGTTCATACACGCTCCCTGAGCACTCATCTGCACCCACAGCTTCCAGTTGTATGTCAGTTGGTCAACAATTTTCATGTTGTCCTTGCCAACCAAGCTCCCCTCACTTTGCTCTAGGCAACAAATTCTGCTGCTTTCTGAACATTTACACTAGGAAACATCCACCGGCCTTTCCAACTCAACATGTTCAACAGTGAACTCATGAGCTCCTGCCCCTAACCAGCCCATCTCCCAGGGAGCCTCATTTCCCACAGTGTATGCTCTCCACTAAGTCACCCAGACCAAAGCTAAAGGCACACCTCTGTCCTTCCTAACTGGTCACCCCATCCAATCAAGTACCGACTGAATTTTCATGGGGGTGTGTGGAGGATTGTGACCAGGCAGCCCTAGAATCCCTGCTCAGGCCTCATCCTCTGCCCAGCAGTCTCCTGACGATCTCACCTCTCCTCCGCCTTCCCTGACTCCAAACTATCTACCACAACACAACTCTAGAGACATGCATCAAAATGCATCTCTGACCACACCATTCTGCTCAGAACCCTTTGATGGTCTCCAGCGTCTTGGAGCTAAAAGGCCAGATTCCTTAATATTACCTTTCCAGCCATGTTACTTAACGGGAATCCCCAGCCCACCTACCAAACTGCCATAATTAGGCATCTGAAATGCCACCCTCCAGCTCCTACTTCAAGCTCCAGCCCACATGTTCCTCTTCTGTGACCTTCCCCTTAAGCCCTCCTTCCCACTTCCACTGTCTGACAAGTGACTTCGATATTCCCCTAAGCCCCAAGTAATTCAGGAGGTGAGCGGTGGGTGTAGTCAACTCAGACCTTGGAAGTTCAGCGCGGAGCCTTGTCATCTGAGGCTGTCGACCCGTCCATTAAGAGAGAAACTATCTGAGGGTCCCAGGCGCGGCAGGACAACCTGCTGGGACCCCCACGTCTACACACTCAAAGGCCGAGGCCAAGGCAGGGACCAGCCTGTCCCTCCCTCCCCGCCCCTGCTGGCTCTCTCCCGCCTTCGGCCAATCCTCCCAGCTCCCTACTTCGCGAGTCTACAAACTCCGAACTCGCAGTTTCCGCGCCTCCCCGGTGCCCGCGTTCTCTATTCTGAATCCGAGGGTCCTCTCCCAGCGTCTACCCCCCATCTCGGGGGACCCAGGGGAGCCAGTGGGGACCGGATCCGGCGGGTGGAGCGGCCAGGTGAGCCCTGAAAGGTGGGGCGGGGCGGGGGCGCTCTGGGCCCCACCCCGGGATCCGGTGACGCTGGGGCTGGAATTTGACACCGGACGGCGGCGGGCAGGAGGCTGCTGAGGGATGGAGTTGGGCTCGGCCCCCAGACACGGCCCGCGGGCTCCGCCAGCAGCAAGTCCCTCGGGTCCCAGCCCTGGCTGTGACTGGGGTTGGGAACCCGGCACCCGAGGTAAGCCAAACCGCTTGCCCATATCCTGGTCCCAGTCCTGGATGGACGCTCCAGGGGCTGGGGGCAGGGGCAAGGCAGCCTTCACTTTTCTGGCATCCTCCCTCTCCTGGGCCCTCGGAGCAGCTCTCTGCTTCTCCCAGCCCCTCCAGTCCCTCTTGTCCCTTGTTAGACTGCGCTAGTCCTGCTGTAATGTGAGGCTCCCGCTGCCGCTACAGGGCACAGACTGGCTGCCAAGGCCGCACTTTTGGCTAAAAGAAGTGCTGCCAGGTGCACAGCTCTGGGTATGAGCCATTTGAGCTGCGGGGGCAAGTCCAGCACTGGACCCAAGAAAGGTGCCTAGAAGAAAACGGTGCAGGACCCCCACCCATGGTGAGTAGTGGGATGATGGAATCGGGTGGCAAGGGCTCAGGATCAAGTGACCCAGGAGAGAGAGAGGGGACTTGAGCTGCCATCAAGCAAGGGTCCTGCTCCTGGGCTCCCCCTAGTGCAGAGGCCCCTAAGCTTTTTGCTCCATGGTGATAACAGTGGCCTGGTCTTGAGGACTCTGAATTCAGTTAGCCGATAAGCCAACGCCTGGCCCTGTAGGAATGCCTGAGGAGATCTGTTCCACAGATGTGTAGGCATTCTGAGTCCTAGGGGGAGGTAAGTGACAACCCGATCCAAGAGGAGGCTGGCTAATGAGGGCCCATGAAAGTTCTGGGTTCCCAGAGAGGCATTTGAGAGTGCTAGTCAGTGGGGGCTTAGGAAGACTAGCTGGGACCAGGAAGGATGATGGCTCATGGGGGAAACTTCTAGGAGCAAGGCCAGGCTACCAGATCCACAAGAGGAGACAGACATGGGCAAGCTCTCAGGGTGGCTCAGGTCTGAGATCAGGCTGCTATGAAGGCCAGCCTAGCCTGGTCCTCCTGGGAGTGACTCAGACCCAAGTGCAGAAAGAATATAGAAAAGCCCACCTCCCCTTCAAGTCTGCAGACTTGGCAGACTCTGCCCCCTGGTGGCCATAGGAAGCCATGGCCCAAGCCCTGTGTTTTCAGAGGGCCCATCAGCCTCCACCTTCTGCTGGTAAGGGACATCTGTGGACAGAAAAAGAAAACGCATGTCTCTGGGTCCAGAACACATATTACAGAGGAACAAGGTTCAGTGGTGCTGGTCCTGGTGGGCAGCACAGGCCTCACTGGGCCTCACTGTCATCATATAACTCTTGAGTGACCAGCAGCCACTCTAATTCTTCTCCAGGTCTCAGATTCCTCCCCTGTGGCATGGGTGAAAGCTGTCTGTGGGACCAGGGATGGCCAGCTACTGCTATCTTCTCCAGTCAGTCTTGGCAGCTCCAGCCCCACAACACAGAACAGGAAAGTTGGGAAAACAGGACCCCTCTCCCCACGGTTGTCTGGGTCTACCCTTATGACCTTAGGTAATCTCTGAGTTTCTCTGAGCCTTGTTTGCTCATCTGGAAAAAGGGAATTAAATCATTTATTTACTTCATGGAGTTGTGAAAGAGGAAATAGTTGCAAAGCACCTAACACATAGTAAGGTTCTCAATGCAGCTACTTTTCCTGGATTGAGTCCAGCTACCCAAGTCCCCTGTAGCTTGGAGAAACTCAGGTGGAAAGATGACCTCCTTAAAAGATAACTCATCTCTCAATATGCAAGCTGCCTCACAAAAAGGGTGGGGGAACAGGTCATCAAAGGCTGATGGGAGCTCCTGGTGTTGATAGAGATGGAACTTGGACTTGGAGGCCCTACCGCACTGCCCCACTGCTCCTGGCCTAAGTGGCAGGTGAGTGACCCACAGGCACTCTCAGCTGGTTTTGAGGAAGGGTGGCTTGACTGGGGAGGAAGAGAAGGGTTTGGCGTGGGCTGAGACCAGATTTAGGAGGGAAAATGGTCAGGCAGGGAGGAACCAGGCATGTGAGTTAAGGAACAGGACTTCTCTGGATGCTCAATGCACTCAGGCGATTCTTCCCATGAGCTCTCAAAAGCTTGGAACCCATTAGGTCTTGAACCTAAGCCCTTCCAGACTTCCCGCCAACAACTAGGAACCCAACCCCCTCTCCGATCTCAGCCCAAGGCAGCCCCTCCTTGGGCTCGCCCCACCGCAGCCCACCAGGGCGCCCTCTTCCTTCCTGAGGCTCCATTTCCACCCCTGCGCAGCCCGCCCTGTGGCCGACCTTGACCGCTCTGGTCCTGCTGAGTAGCGTCACGGAGGCCTCCCTGGACCCCAAGCCCCACAGTTCGACCACCCGCGAAGACCCCGCGCCAGTCCTGGCGCCGCCCACCCGCCACCTCCCGGGTAGGTGAGAGCGTGAAGGGGCGGGGCAGGGGCGAGGCTGGCCCGGGAGTGTGTGACTTTATCTCCTTCCAGGGCAACTCACGGCCCGTTTGTGCGGCGGAAGAGCCCGGCGGACACAGCCACAGCCTCCCCAACCGGTACCCCCGCCGCCCGCGCCCCCACCCCCGCCCGTGTCCCCGCCTACTGCGCCCCGTGGTGTCCGCGCGCCGCGTGCTGGGATCCGGGGCAGCCGCACGGGGGCCACGGGCACGCGGAGCTGCCGCCTGCGTTCGCAGCTGGTGCCGGTTCATGCTCTCGGTTTGGGCCACAGATCCGATGAACTGGTGCGTTTCCGTTTCTGCAGCGGCTCCTGTCGCCGCGCTCGCACCCCGCATGACCTTAGCCTGGCCAGCCTGCTGGACACTGGGGCCCTGAAGCCGCCCCCCGGCTCCCGGCCAGTCAGCCAGCCCTGCTGCCGGCCTACTCGCTATGAGGCAGTCTCTTTCATGGACGTCAACAGCACCTGGAGGACCGTGGACCACCTCTCAGCCACTGCCTGTGGCTGCCTAGGCTGAGGGATCTCTCCAAGGCTTTGCACATCCTTACTCCTGCATCTTGATGCCTCAGACCTCCCTGCTGGGCCCCATTAGCCAGGGCCTCAGCCAGAGATGGAGACCTCAGAACTGAGTTGCCAAGCCCCATCAGAGATAACAAACATTGGCTCTGGAGAAATGGAGGGACTATTCACCAGCAGCCTCAAGGGGTTTATATGGACACCAGAGACTTCAGCCATGGAAACATTAGGAACCACTTCTCACACACTGGCACTGGCCAGGCAGAAGTCTTGGGACCTCCTCCTCTAGAGACTCCAGAAATGGCCCAGGTGGGGCAGAATTTGGAGGAGTCACATTGCAGTTGCATGACTGAATGCACCTGTGTTGGAGTTGGCCTTGAACTCACTCCTGGGCACTGAACCCCTATTTATTATTTCTAACTTATTTATTTACTCTGGTAATTTGTCAGATCCTTTCCTGGGAAATGGGGGGATTAGTAGAAGAGGTAAGATGGAAGTGTGTCCTGACCTTCCCACTCACACACTTCACTCAGCAATCACGGGCTTGGCCAACTGCTTGCCTCCGCCCAGCAGCTCTGAGGTAGAAGACATGGAGCCCTGGGCAGAGTGGGTGGCCAAGGTGCATTCACAGGCCAGCTCACACCCCCTCCACAGTCTTTAGCATTTGGAGCCTGGGTTACCTGTAGGAAAAGAAGCTACAGAGCCTTTTAAGGAGAAAGCCCCGTCCCGTACTGATGGTACTCTTGAGGTCCTAGCTTAGTGGGTAAAGACAGAAAACCATACATTGCCCTGGCCCAGTGTCACTAATCAGTATCTACCGTCCAGGAAACGATCTTGAAGGTACCCTGACAGGTGCATAATCTACCTCTCCTTGCAGAAGGTCCAGTCTGGGGAGCTCACTGCCTTCATTCCATGAAACAGTCCAAGGCAAGAAAATATATGAAAAAAAAATGTTGAAGGTGGGAAGACGGTGCACTGGGGTGCTGCTTTGGGAGAATGAAGCACAGAACTTCACAAACATGAATGTAGGAAAGACCTGAGGAGCCTCAGAGGGACCTGCATTTTGTTTGTTGAATGAGGGGTATTCATTTATTCAGCCAACAAATATTTACTAAGCACCAATTATATGTCAGCTTCTGAGTAGACACTAAGGATAGACAGACAATAAATACTCAATAACATACATACTTATTTAAATTCAATTTGGCAACTGACATAAAAAAAGAACAGGAAACTAAGAGGTATACACGTTTATCTGGAAGGAACATTAGTGCTGTCCCTGGCCTCACATTGTCCTTAAATCATCTCCAAAAGATCAATGTAATTCCCTTTCTGCATGTCCTTTAAAACTGATTCCTAAGTCCTAGGTATTTATTTGGGGGTGACCTATATGATTTGCCTTCTTTGGAAATAAGACAGGGATATGGAGTTGGAAAGGATGATACATCTAAGGGACTATGGGACATCCAGAGGAGTTGTCAGGAAGCAGGGGGGATATGCTTGTTGATCTAGACCTGAGGATGGAGGTCTGAATTGGTAGGTTTGAGAACCATCAGTGCAGAGGTGGTGACCAGGGGTCCATGAGAGCACCTTATGAGTGAGACAGGGTTGGGGTGGGATCCCAGGCATTTAACACTTGACAAATTTCTTCCCATGTGCCTGCCTGCTTTGGCAAGAAGCTACTTCTCCCAAGCTAGTGAGGAGCCACAAGAGCTCTGAAAGCAGGGCCTATTCTGGGTCAAGGAGGTAAACTGTGCCTGTCTCTCCTTCTGCCCCAGTTATATGCACCAAAACTTTGGTGCTTTTTTGCTCTCAAATATCCATTTGGTCCCTATCTCTGCCTTTAAACTGATTTAGGATCCTCAGTTTCCACAAACACACCCCACAGAAAATATATCCGTATCATACAGTATTTAGAAGGCTGGGTGGGAATATTGAGAATATCCTGTCAATTCCATGGCTCTGCTATCTCCATTTTTTATTTTGATCTCTGTTTTACATTTGCAAAAATACATTGCCCGATGATTGATTTTCCCAAAATTAGGGCATGGTCTCCAAAAAAGGAATATCAAGTTATCACCTCTTGCAAGACAACAAATAATAGGCAGCTTTGAAATGACAGTTTTTTCCAGCTCAGAGAATACCTCAAACTCCTGTCTATGTGCATTTCATCCAGAATACATAGTTCCAGGTTCTACTTACTCCCGCTGTCTGCAGTTGCCTGGTCTGGAAGATGCCCTTACCAATGACTTTCCTATCCAGGGATTGCCATTTTATTCCTGGCTAAAGATCCCTGTGATGCAGTGTGTGTGGACTAGCTGACTGAAGTCTCATCTTGATAAGGAGAAGTTAGAGAGAAAGTTGAGTGATCAGAAAAGATTTAGGAGAATCTGTGTGGGTCTCAACCTATTTTTGGAGTTGTGAAGTCCTTTGAAAATCTGATGAAACTTATGACCTTCTTCCCACCAAAATGCTAGAAATGTCACTGATAACGTAAAACAGGTAAACAATTTTAGGGGAGTTGCACAGACTGTGTGTGTGTGTGTGTGTGTGTGTGTGTGTGTGTGTACTGGGGATTGAACCCAGGGTTGCTTTACCACTGAGCTGCATCCCCAGTCCTTTTTTTATTTCCTATTTTGATATGTGGTCTCATTAAATTGCTTAGGGCTTTGCTAAGTTGCTGAGGCTGGCCTCAAACTTGTGAACCCCATGCCTCAGCTTCCCAAGTCTCTGGGATTAAAAGAATGCTCCACCTTGCCTGGAGTCCACATACTTTCCAAATCTCATTTAGCTGTCCATTTGGAGTGCATGGTCCCCATGTTGTGGCGGCATGCCCTGTTTTATACTATGTTGAATATCCTCTTGTAGCTGGATTCCTCCAAGTGTATTCAGCTCCAATATCAGGGCTCTCTGACTCAACTATTTACAATGCCCCCTACGCTTCAACCATTTTCTATCTCATCTCTCCTTTCCTTCTGTTTATACTGGCTCAAATATACCTCATTATTTTAAAGATGATGCTGTGACATCTACATAGGTAGGTAGACATATCTGCTGCCACCTCTCCTTTACTAAAAGAGCTTTTGCTGAAGTACCAGGGACCCTGTCCTTCTAAACCCAGTAGCCACTTCTCAGCCTTTAGTACTTTGAACACTCAGGAGCACTCAATTTTGTCAACCCTCCTTAAAAAACTGATTTCCCCTGTGTCTGCATCTGTCTTTCTCTCTGTCTCTTTTTCCTGAGTACTGGGGGATTGAACTCAGGGGCACTCTACCACTGAGCTATATATCCATATACATAGCCCTTTTTATTTTCAGAAATGGTCTTCCTAAATCTCTCAGGTTGGCCTTATAGATTTTGATCCTTCTGCCTTCACCTTCTGAGTCACTGGGATTACAGGCATGTGCCACCACATCTAACTCCTTGACTCTCTTGATCTTATACTCATCTGGTTTCCTTCTATTCTTTCAGTTGCTCATTCTGACTACTTTTGGGTTCTTCCTCTCTCTGCCTCTTAGATGTTTCTCAGGGCTCTGAAATTGACTCTCTCCTCTTCCCACTCTTCTCTCTCTCTCTTTGGGCAACATTATCTGTTTCCATGGTTTCAGTTACCACCTATCCATGCTAACCATGCTCACACTTTATCTCCATCCTAGACCTTTCTCCTGAGCCCCAAGTCTGTAATTTCAATGTCTACCTGCATAGCTTTGGAAACCTCAAGCTTCATACATCTGTCTTGATATCTTCTGTTTTCTCCTTTACATCTACCCTCCACTCTTCTCTACCCTGTTCTGCACCTCACATCAATGAGCTTCCCTGCTTTCCAGCTTCCACACCACCTCTAGTATTCTCCCCTTGGCGAATATACCAAATTCCATCCAATGACACAAGACAGAAACTTAAGCGACATGTTAGACTTCTAGAGCTCTGTCGCATCCCTCAACCACCGATCACCCTAGATCTTGCAGGTGTTTTCCCTTTTCTCTACCCCCAATACCATTCTATTGAAGCTTTCATAATTTTTCAGATGGTTTATTGCATAACTCTCTCCAATTAATATCAATCCTGCAGCCAGAAATGTCTCCAATCTCTTAACTTTAATTGAGCACTGTCACATATTAGGCTATCTGTGAGGATTCAGAGATCAGTAGAAACATGTTCTACCATCAAGGAAGCCATAGTTGGAAATAGATGTCGGGGTAATGTTGCCAGATTTAGCAAACAAAAATACAGGACATCTGGTTAAATTTGAATTATACGTAAATGATAAATACTTTTCTTTTAAAATGTCTCATGTAATGACTGGGATATATTTATACAAAAATTTGTTGTGTATCTGAAATTTGAATTTAACTGAGGGTCCTGATTTTTTTCTGGCAATGCTGAGGGGAAGTAGATAAATAAATAGAAAAGAAATCAACCATTGAAAGTTCCTCCAGTAGAAGTATGACTGGGGTTCAAGTATGCATGCCAATGAGGGGGGAAAGTCTACATTCAACAAAGGAAGAGAAATTGGTTCTACCTGGACAGAAAGGGAAAAGGGACTGGGAAAGTCTTCATGGAGGAAGTAATATTTGAACTGAATCTTAAAAATGAATATTTGATCCTTCAAAGGTGAACGAGGCACTGGGCCTGTACAGGTTATTGGTTGTTGCTTTTATTGCCTCTTAGCTCTAGATTCATCATGTCCTGTTTGTTCGGCATAGTATGGATCTTGGTCTTAGACAGGAGTGGAGGAATGAGGGCCTCTTCCTTGGGTTCTATCTCAGCCCCAAGACTCTGCTACTCTTATATTCCTTAGAGTTCTCTTACTTCTTTTGCTAATCAACACCTTATTACTTCAATCTCCTATTATGATTCAAAGTCATTATATTAAGCTTTCCCTATGTGCTTACTGCATGGTTTCCCTCTCCTGATTGGACCCAGACTGTCAGACATTTATTCATTCAATGGTACTGAGGATTGAACCCAGGAATTCATGCATTGCAGAGCTTTCTTGACTGAGGCAATAGTATAAACAAAGGCAAGGAAATGTGAAACAGGCTGGCATATTCTCAGGATTGTCAGAAAGTGCATGTAGAATTGGAGGAGGGTGCTCATCAAGACAAAGGGCTGGAGAGATAATAAAGGACCTTGAATGTTATGCCAAGGAGCTTGGATGTGGTCCTCAGGGAGCTATCAAACAGTTTTATATGGGGTCAGTTGAAGTGTGTTTCAGCAGATCACGACTCCTGTAAAGCATGGACAGGGAGGAACAAAGCAGGGTCCAGCTAAAACTGTGGCAGTGGAGTTAGGGCAGAAGCAGTAAGAACAGAAGAGAAATGAGGCACAATAATCAGGACTTGGTTATAAACTGGTTGTGAGGGCTGATGAAAGAGATGACTTCCAGGTATCTGTTTTGGATGACTGGTTAGGAACACAGGGGATATTCCTTTTAGCATGTGAGGTATGGGAGAGATCTTGAGTTTAGTTCTGTATAGGTTCAACTTAGAGTGTCTGTGACCTTTAGGAGACAAAGAGGTTAGAGGCAGCTGGATGTGTGGTTCCATAATTTAGGACAATTGGGCCAGAGAGATCTGGGAGTTACAGCTTAAAGCCAAGGGAGTGAGAAAAAAGGAAGGATAAGAGAAGGAGAGCTGGGCAGGGTGGGGATGCCTGTAATCCCAGTGGCTGAGGCAGGAGGATCACGGGTACAAAGCCAGCCTTAGCAACTTAGCAAGGCCATAATCAATTTAGTGAGACCCTATCTGTAAATAAAATAAAGAAAGAGGCTGGGGATGTGGCTCAGTGGTAAAATGCCCCTGGATTCAATCCCTGGTACCAATTTAAAAAATACAAAACTAAAGCCCTGGAACAGGTTAAGGAACAGGAACAAGCTGGTGAAGGAGACCAGAAAGGATTGATCAGAGAGGCGGGGGAAAACAAAACAAAACAAAAAACAACAACAGGAGAATGGGAGCAAGTGCTCAACAGGGACAAATGCAGCAGAAAAATCCATTCACATAAGGACTGAAAACTTCCCATTGAGTTTTCTTGAAACATAGTGGCCTAGGGATTGGGTTATACTTTTTACTGAGAACAACTAAAAAATACAAGCCAAAATATATTTTTAAAAATTAAATGCATCCATAAGCTGGCAAAAGCATATACATTGAGCCCAAAAAATAAATGAAAACAGGAAGCTACAAAGGTAAGCAAAAATCTGTAATTGCCTTTCACTCTGAGGGCATTTGCTATAGCGATGTGTAGTGAACTTGCACAGGAGTTTTCAAGGGTTTCCTAAACTTATGAGAAAGAATACAAAATCCAAGTCCCATTCACCATGGGAAGTCTATTTGGAACCTTCTCCATAAATTGAGGACCCCAAAGAGTTATGTCCAGATTGTGAGGGGAATTAGAGAATTAGAAATGAATCTACCTCCAGGCTGGGGATGTGCCTCAGTGGAGAGCACTTTGGGCTCAATCCCAAGTATAAGATAGGAGGGAATAAACCTGCTTCTTCTACCTAACCAGGGGGCTACAAAGAAAATTGCCTGTATCCAACCTTCGTGATAAGTGGAAGTTAGAGGTGATCTTCCCTGAGAATTCTTAGTTACAAGCAGAAAGACTCTCCTCTTGGTTTTTTTTTGTTTTGTTTTGTTTTGTTTTGTTTTAGTTGTTGACAGACATTTATTTTATTCACTTATTTATATGTGGTGCCGAGAATCAAACCCAGTTTCTCACACATGCAAGGCAAATGCTCTACCACTGAGCCACAACCCCAGGCCCTCTCCTCTTGTTTTGCAGACCAAATTCACACTATGTTGCTAGACTGAAAAGCTTCCAAGATAGATAGATAGATATGAAATGTTTCTGAGATAAGTAAATACACAGGTGATAAATAGGTATTGTCTAATTTTTTTTTTTTTTGGTGGTACTGGAAATTGAACTCAGAAACATTCTACCACTAAGCCATATTCCCTGCCCTTTTTATTTTTTATTTTGAGACAGGAGTCTCACTGAGTTGCTGAGGCTGGCCTTAAACTTGCAATCCTCTTGCCTCAGCTTTTGGGATTACAGGCATGTGCCAATGTACCTGGCTTAGATGGATAATTTGACATGAACCTGTATTGGTAGTGATTCCAGGTGGCCCCAAGAAGTTTCCTATCCTTTTTCTTTGACTTTGGAAATCTTTCCAGACCCCCACCAAAGTTGTCACAGGTAGGTTCTGACCCTGTGTGTCCTAGTCTTGTTTCTAAGGTAAGAACCCTTCTGTAACTGGCTCCCACAGATTCATCCCCATTTGGCTCTAAGCTACCCTGCACTACCATCCACATCTCCTGCAGATACTCTTGGTCTGGCTCCCAGAAATGTCCCGAATTCTCCTCAGCGCCTTCTTCAGTCCATCTGTCCTCTCAAGGGTTTGTGAAGCATATTCAGGAACTATTGTTGATGAGTGGCTTCTTCCTCTGTCAGGGAAACCCTGGGGTGAAGACAGGAGCTCTGGATTGGAAGCAGGAAGAAAACTCACACCAATTAAGTTGCAGCCTCAAGGCCAAGTCCTACTCAAGTATTATTTCAGTTTGTCTTTCACTGGAAAAAATCTATATCAAAAGAAGCCAAACCTCATGACTAGAAAGAGACATAAACACTTTTGAACCCAGGTCTTACTCCAGAATTTGTGCTCCTAACTCCCTCTCATCCATCTTCCACTAGAGAAACTTCCAGCCCACTGTAACTGGCTCCCACAGATTCATCCTTACTTGGCTCTAAACTACCCTGAACTAGAATATTTCACACCCTAGGTCCAGGCCTAGAATCAGTCACTTTATTTTGGCTTCCAGTTTCCTCCCTCCAAATGTTTCTTCCCTCTACCCTTTTTTCCTTCAGTGCTACAGATTTTTTTTTAATGTATTCTTTTTTTTTTTTTTTTGAGAGAGAGAGAGAGAGAGAGAGAGCGCTAGAGAGAGAGAGCGAGCACGCCAGAGAGAATTTTTTAATATTTATTTTTTAGTTTTCGGCCTACACAGTATCTTTGTATGTGGTGCGGTGCTGAGGATCAAACCAGGGCCAAACGCATGTGAGTGCACTTGAGCCACACCCCCAGCCCTACTGATTTTTTTCTAAAATGCAAATGCAACCATCATTGCCCACTTGAAACCTCATTATGGCTTTATATGGCATTTAGGATAATATACAAACTCCTAGAGTATAGTGTTCCCAACTTGTTTTTTCAAATCTCATCTGTTCCCTCCCTCTTCGTTACCCCATGTAGATCCCCTTAAACTGATTACAAATAACTAATGTTCTTCAAGCACTTTCTTGATAAAAACTTGCTGAGTGAGGAGAGTCCCACTGAAGCCAGATTTAAAATTAGGCACTAGTTAGGTAAATCGGGTCTAATATCGAGTGAAATCTAAAATGGAAGCCATGTTAAGAATGAATTTCTGGGGCTGGGGATGTGGCTCAAGTGGTAGCGCGCTCGCCTGGCAAGCGTGTGGCCCAGGTTCGATCCTCAGCACCACATACCAACAAAGATGTTGTGTCTGCCAAAAACTAACTAAATAAATAAATATTTAAAAAAAAAAAAAGAATGAATTTCTGGAAAAGTTGAGCAACTCAATGTTAATGAACAGCAGCCTTGAAGATGCTGATTCGAAAGTGCCCAGATTAGTTCTTTGGCCCACCTGTGTCCCACCCCTCTGGCCTTCCCACCTATATTCTATTACCGAAAACTATAAAATGGAGAGACAACCATACTTCGACGGATTCCATCTCTTGGGTCCCCTTCTTCCTATGGGAAAAGTCTTTTCTGCTGTCCTTTAATAAACTTCTAATTTTCCACTCTGACTTTGCCTCGTGGGCTTCTCTGGTGTTATTCTTCAACATTGGGAAGCAAGGACTGTCACCAGTCAACTGCAGTAACACCACTAGACTTTGCTTGCTAGCTAAGTGAACCCCCCTCTACCCCAGGCTCTCATTATTCATCAAGTTCAGATCAAATTTCTCCCTCAGAGAAGTGTTCATCGACCTTCTCAGGCCTCAACAGTTATTCCAATGCCAGCTTCCTCCATTTGAACATACATATAGAAGTCCTTTGGTTTTTCTTTTTTTATACCTTTATTTTATTTATTTATTTTTATGTGGTGCTGAGGATTGAAACCTGGGCCTCGCATGCGTTAGGCGAGCGCTCTACTGCTGAGCCACAACCCCAACCTAGTTTTTAATCAGTATTATTTCCTTCCTGGTTGGGATACCTGGCAGGAGTTAATAAAAGGACAACTTAAGGGGTGAAAGGCAGAGAGACTTCTGAGATCTATCTCTGAGTTGTTGAAAAAACTGAACCGAAGATAGGCAAAATACTGCCCCAGAACTCAAATGTGCGCTGCTCTTATTTGTCGTATACATAAAGGAAACTTATGAAATTCCTCCGAGCACTGTCCATGGTATGTGATTTCCTGGTTGCTTATTGAGTGGTGCCGAAAACCACCCATCTTCTTATTCCTGAGGCTTACAAGCCCCGCTCTTAACTTCTCAGGGTGGTGTGGTTGGCCTCCTCAAAAATAACTCCTTCCCTGGTTTTGACGTTGTGCCAGCAGGAAAGCATCGAAGTGAACCGGCCCCTTTCCCTCCCTTCTCCAGCCCCGCTCGCATCTTCACCCAAAGGCCCCCTGAGTCGCATCCTCCCAGGGAGTTGCCCCGCAGCGCCCACCATCGGTGTGCCTGGGAGTGCCTGTCAGCCGCGGTAGGCCTGGGACAGGCTGAGTTCCGCCGGTCCCAAATCCACGTGTTCCCGCCCGCCACTCCGCCAGACGCCGCCTTCCGGCTAAGCTCAGGGCGGACTTCACTTCCCAGGGTGCGCAGCGGCGGGGCCTTGCTCCGACGGGGACCTCGGGTGGCGCACCGCTCCGTCGCCTGCTCGGGGGCGCGCGAGCTGGCGCGAGAACAGGGCCTAGGACCCGGAATGAGTTTCCTCGTAGTTCCGCTGGGCTGTGCCGGGCTGTGCCGGGCCGTGCCGGGCCAGGACAGGCGGGGGTGGGGGCCTGAGTTAGTGGAGTCAGTGACAGGCGCTCGGGGCAGCCCGCGCCTTACTGAGGTCCCCGCCCCGTCCCGGCCGGGCCGGCTCGTCTGTCAGTCACTGGGGCGGAGGCAGCGGCGGTAGCGGGGCCGGAGCCAGGCTGTGAGCAGAGCGCGGGCCAGGCCGAACGGAGAGAACCTGCCACAGCCCCTCAACTCCACGGACTCTTCGCCCCAGACTCACAAAGCTGCACCCCCCGCGCTTCTTTGGACGCCTCCGTAATCCGCGAAGGGCTTTCTCCCCCGTGACCCCTCAGCCCCGTGACCTCCTCATAGCACCCAAGCGCTCACCCGGACAAGGGTGTTTTTGGTACAGGCCGTCGACCCTGTGACTTCTCACGGGCCAGGGACTCGGTTCCCCCCATAGGCCTCCCTCCCCAATGACTTCCTCCTCATAGATTCTAGGGACAGAACCGTGACCTATCATTAGGACCAGCGTCTGGGAACACCTCACTGACGCGTCCCTCCTCAGAGTACTCCTTAGTGGGTCTCCTCCTAAGAGCACCCCTTTTGGTCTCTGGCAAACTCCCCACCCCCAAACGAGGTGGGGAGGCCTCGGCAGCCATGCCTTCCCTGGGTACCCCCTTACCCCACCAGTCCCTGGGCGCCCAAGCCGGGGTCTAGCAGGGGGCCAGCAGCCAAGGGGCTGGGGCAGGAGACAGATCAGGGTCC